AGCAACTTATTTTTTCCTGTAATGCACTTTCAATATCTTTACTTGCTTTCCTAGGAGTAGTGTTAGATTGTAAGCAGAATCCATTCATCAATATATCATACGACCCTTGGTTTTCAAGGCGCCGGAGCACCATCCTTGTTGTTCGCTCACTCACCCCATATATCACACGACCATCGCTCCCTGAGCAGCGCGCCGGAGCACCGCCCAAAATCCACCACCAACACCATCACTCGACGGCCTTGTAGTTCAGGCCGTGAACCTAACAGCCGAGACCAGTTCCTCTCTCGGCTACAATCGTTTGACTAGGAAGACAGATCAAACAGGCGCACCACTCACCCATCCAACACTCACCTAAACATCAACGCACGGTAAACCGTGCTGGCACGCCCGCGCACAACCGCACCGCACCCAAAAGCAGGAAACCCCGTGTTAACGCACATCCCCTCGTCCCGGAACTCCAGGCCGTGAGATTTGCGCGGCAGAAAATATGTTTGGGCGATCAAGTGCTGATTTGGGAAGTTCGAACTTGGACGAATAATCCATGTGATCAAGAATGGTTTACAAACTCGGGTTTTGATCGAAGAAAGCTCTGGCCATAACTTGTTCCTAGAGGAAGTACAATATTAATAAACAATAACAAACTATATGAAAATTTTCAATTAAGTAGTTCATCTATATAAGAGTCACAAAAATTCAGAACCCTAAAAAGGCAAAAATAAGTTTTGGCCTTCAACCTTCTTTGAAATTACAAGGAACCATTTTCTTTATTTACATATGTTGATGGTTTAGTTTGATTTGCTAATCCTGGCATTCTAGTTAATTTTTCTTATTTGTCCTTGGGGAAACTGCTGCATAAATTAAGTTAATTTCAGTCGTACAAAGGCCAAAGCCACTGTGATAATTAAGTCAATGGTAACAACAGTTTTCACCAATGGCAATAGTCGAGTGTGGGATGGTTGCGAGTGATTACAAAAAATAGTATAAGTTTTAAAATGAGTCAGAAGGGACACAAGAAGACATATTCAGAAAACAAGTCTTCTAGCCATATTCAGAAGGATTTAAAATTGGGTTTTAAAATCAAGTGATGCCCGATCCTATCATCCTAGCTAGTAAGGCAAAGAAAGTTGATGATTTGAGGCAGAAACTTAGGATGTGGGGACTGGTTGGTGATTCAATGTACTGCAGGAGCTCAATCAAAATGCAAATTATTGTTATCTCCTTTCTTCCATCAACGGTTCAAGGGATATGTATCTGGTGGCAGCATCAAACTAATTACATATTTTAGAAAGTGAAAGCTTCAAGTAGTAACATAAGATTGTATTGGACTTTATTTAGCATGAAAAACTATGGAGATGACCATCTTTAAAATAGATTGTATTGGAATAGCATTATATATGGAACAAGAGTATGTCTACACCTACATTTAGAAGCACTTATAAAATCATCAAATGAAATCTGCAGGTAATTGTTATGCATGGTATGGACTGTGGACATAAGTTTCTTCAATAGCTAGCCTATCCAATTTCGACCTTAGACTGCCACTCATGGTGACTAAGCTATGAGCTTTGATTACACACATAATCGACATTTATTCATAAATCAGAGACTATGATACGAGAATAACAAAAGGGAGGGAGGCCTTTTGCATCTCGTCTCAGAACAGACAAGAAGAGTACCTTTAAAAAAACAAACAAAAAAACAAGAGTAATGCTGTGGTGCATACAAATAAAACGCACAAGCTTGCCCCCTGCCCTCCTCCTTGAGTGGCTGCTGCTCCTCCTGATCCTTTTGGATTTGGAGATTTCACCTTCATGAATTCATGAGCAACCTCCTCCTGCTGATCCTCGTCGTCTGTCACCCGACGTGGGAAAGGTTGAGGTATAGGAATAATCAGATCATTAATTACGATATCTTGAATACGTTTCACAACATCCTCCTGGGTAATGAGAGCCGTGCATCCAATCCTGATCTGGAGAGTCCTAATGCTACTACTTAGTTTATCTATTGTATTCCTCACGTGTCCTTATCCTAGAATTACAGTTGTATACCTCTTTATCTTGTAAACGTGTAGTTATCTCCTACTGGTGTAGGACTCTTGTATAGCATTATATAATCAATATCAATACACACGACCTCTGTACAATTCTAGAGGCTTATAATATCTCTTCATGGTATCAGAGCTTTCTGATTAACATCAAAATTATTATTATTATTATTATTTATCCTCTTTTTCTTCACACCCAACCTTCTCTATGGCCACCTCTGCTTCTAGTTCCAGCTCTTCCTCTGTTGCTCCTATGCCCAACGTTTCCAACGTGTTGACCGTCAAGTTGGAACGTAATACCTATCCTTTATGGCTTGCGCAAATTGTGCCGCTTCTTCGTAGCCGCTCTCTTATGAAATATGTTGATGGTACCAGCCTCTGCCCTCCTGCTTTTCTCTCTGATGATACTGGTACACAAACTGACAAGATGAATCCGGCTTATGAGGACTGGATCCAACAGGATCAAATGGTGTTGTCCTGGCTTAATGGGTCTTTTTCTCCTGCTGTGCTTGCCACCGTTGCTTGTTCTACCTCTGCGCATCTCACTTGGTTATATCTTGAGAAACGTTATGCTTCCCAAAATCAAAATCAACTCCTCCAGCTTCGTGGTGACTTTCTGCAAACTACTCGCGGTGATCTCTCCATTGCTGACTTTCTTGACAAGGTGAACTCTCTGGCTGACAACCTTGCTCTTTCTGGCTCCCCTGTGAGTGACTCTGATCTTGTTGCTATTATCATGAACAACGTGGGTCCTTTATATGAGACTACTGTTAGTTCTGCCCAAGCTCGTGATTCTCCCATTACTTATGATACTCTTGAGGCTCTTCTTCTTAGTGCTGAACGCCGGCTCCAACCTGTCCAACTCCCTAGTTCTGCCCTTGGAGGTACTGCTATGGTTGCTTCACGTGGACGTGGTGGTTTTCGTGGCCGTGGCTCGTTTGGACAGCGTGGTGGCCGTGGTTTCCGTGGTGGTCGTGGTTTTTCTGGCGGTTCCTCTTTTCATGGTGGTCGTGGTAGTTTTTCTTCTTCCACAGCTGGTGTTCTTGGTGCGGCTCCATTCTCTTCCAGCGGTGTTTCTTCTTCTTTCTCTGGCGGTGCTTCCTCATCTTCGATGGCTCCTGGTCCTGCTGCCTTTCCTTTTGGTTCACAGATTATGTGTCAAATCTGTGGCCGTGGTGGTCATGCCGCCTTGGATTGTTATAACCGCATGAACCTTGCCTTTGAAGGTCGCGTTCCTACTCAGCAACCTGGATCATCCTCTTGGCTTATGGATACTGGTGCCAACTCTCATATTACTCCAGATGTGGGTGCTTTGAACAATCCCAGAGAATATCGTGGTACTGACTCCATTGGTGGTGTCCTTGGTGGAACAGGTTTAACTATATCTCATATTGGTAGTTCCCATATTATTAGACATTACTCTATTAAAAACATTGTACAATGAACACAAATTAAATACTTTCTATGCAACCATTATTTTTTTGTCGAAAGAGAAAAACTGTCAAACTTAAAAGACAACATCTAATTTCCTTGCAGTTAACCACTTCACACACTGAGATGAAATTAATTGCAGAGTACCAATACCACGTATTTTGCATTTATTTGCATATATTATATCATTAGCAACCCTTCCCAGTATTTTAATCTCTCACAAAACCATATATGTTTTCCATTAATGCATCTGTCTTTAAAATTTTCATTCAACTTCAATCAAAATATATGGAAAGTATATGTGCTAGGATTTGAAAGTAGTGAGCGAGGGAGTGGCTGAGGCAACAAACAGACCCTTTGTCAACATATTTAAGCCATTCAGAAACAGCTACAACACATCCTACAGAAATCAACTGATAAAATTCATCGTCACTATCATCTGTACAAGAGTGTGTACTGTTACCATCACCATCACTAGAACTCATCTGTAAAAATAAAGCAAAAAAACTTATTGTATATATTGTAGTGAGCGAGGGAGTGACTGAGGCAACAAACAGACAAACTGACCATAAATTTAAGCAAAAGGGAAAACACCATAAGGGCATTTTCTAGTGCTAATTCAGAAACATTTTGTACATCTGTCTGTTTTTACTATAATGAAAATTTCTGTTCATTGTAGCACTAAGATTGGACTGCATGTTTAAGCAAGAATTCACATAATCAACAATCTGAAAATGAGCAAGAATTCACATAATCAACAATCTGAAAATGCAGTTAAGCATAGTTTTGAACTCAGTTTGAAAACACTGAATGGGAAATTGGTGAACTATCTTAACTCTTTCTAGTTTTGAACTCAATTTTGAACCACCTTAAAATGATAAACGATATTGAACCACCAAAGCAGTTTGGATACACAAGTATGAAAGGAAACATAATCTTTGTAGTTTCTTCAATCAGATCAACACAATAATACAGAGACAAATAGCAAAAGTAAAACTTCCTTTTGCATGCATCCATCCAAGAGGACAAAACGGTGACCAAATCAAAGACAAATAGCAAAAGAAAATTAAATATGAGATATGCACCTGGTAGAGAAGGAAAACGAAAAATAATTTTTGAAAAATCAAACTATCAATCACAAGCTAATGGTCAACGAAAAATTCAGGAACTTTTGAAGTATTTATGAGAACACACAGAAAAGCCAATAAATTTGGAAACAACAAGAACCAACAGAATAGAAACATGAGATTTAAGCAAGACAAGTTAACAAGAATCGATGATTACCTCTCTTTCAGAATAAGCAGAAATATGACAGATGAAAAGTCCACTAGGATTTGGAATTCCCCTGCAATATGAAGTCCAAAAAATCTAAAGAGTTGGTGTGTGCTGTGACTTCGTGGATGTGAAGGTAGAAGAAGAAGAAGGGTGTTGCTGAAGGGTGCTGAGGCTGAAGCTTTGCTGCCGACCAGAGCAAATTGTGTGAGAGAGATAATAGAAGATGGGTGATAGGTTTTGGCGTCTAATAGGTTTTGGAGTTTGGGCTTTTCGCGGGTAGTTTTGGTTTTAATTGGAGAGAAAAAGAGAAAAAAGAAAGTAAGAAAGAAAGGGTGTTTTGGCATTTTAAAAAATTAAATATGGGTATTTTCGGCATTTTAAAAGTTTCATTAAAGGGAGCCAAGTGCTTCCCGTGTTTTTGTCCTGCAGCGCTTTTATGAAGAAGCACCTCTCAAGTGCTTCTTCCAAAACCACTCCAAGTGCTTTTGGATCTCACCCAAAGCGCTTTGGCAATTTTTGCCAAACACCATTTTTAAAAGACAGAAGCGCTTTCACCCATTTAGAAGCGCTTTTCGCTGCTCCAAAAGCACTCCC